ATTAAATTTAGATTGCAAGGAACAGACCATCAAAAGGAATGTAACTATTTGGAAGTGATTATATTGAAGCAACAAGATAGAAAGCCAAGCAAATCACTTTCACATCCCAGAACATGATACTAATGAAATGTAAAGCATCCAGTCTGATTACCACCTGTGCTCTCAGAAACTTAAAACTGTGAAATATGAACAGAAATAGGTAATCAGTAGCAGAGACTGGAGGTGAAAAAGTGCTCTACGAGGTTACAAGGGGAGATGAGAGGCATGAACATGAGGAAGCCCACTATGACTAAGCAAAAACTATGAGAGCAGAAGTTATAAGAGTAAAACGTCACAGAGCAGGTGTTGGCGAACTACAGCCCATAGGCCAAATCTAGCCACCACCTTTTTTTTTTTTAATAAATACAGTTTTGTTGGAACACAGCCACATTCGTTCATTTATGTATTGTCTATGGCTGCCTTCATGCTACAATGGTAGAAACCATATATGGCCCACAAAGCCTAAAATATTTACTATCAGGCCCTTTACAGAAAAGTTTGCTAACCCCTGTCATAGAGGATGGCATAGGCCAGTGGTAGCAAAACTGAGAAGACACACACAGAAACAGGGGCAGAGAGAATATTTAAGTCATGTCAAAAACAGAGCACTGGAGAAAAGACTCTGAAACTCCTTCTGCTGAGATCCCCACGAGTACCCTTACTATAACCCCCTAAACCCTGAATGTGCTGAACATTTAGAAAAATTAGTTACATATCACACACCGAAGAGATCCCCAATGGAAAAGATTAGTATTTAAAAGTAAATAAATAAATTATGAACCACAAGAAAATATATTTATCTTCATCGTGAAATGCAAGTGGAGAACAAACCATAAAGAAAAAGATATTTGAGCTACATAAAAATTAACAATTTCCATGCCAAATTGGGGAAAATACCTGCAACATATGGTAGATTAAAAATCAGTGTGAAAAAGAAACTCAAAAATAAGACCCAAGAAAGATTTTTAACTGTTCTATCCCATTTAGGAATTAAAGAAATAAAAACTAAAACAGCAAGGGAGACCACTTTTCACCTTTGCAATTGCCAGATTTTTAAAAATCATAATATAGTGTATTGGTGATGATATGAAAAAATGGACATTCTCATGCACTATAGGGATTGTACATTTAATCCAACTTTAGGAAACAAACATGGATATGTGCAAAGATTTATCTGCAGGAATGTCCACATTAACATTATTTACACAAAATTAAAACAGCAGTAATTGAACATGGGTCTCAACATCAGATACAAATTAAATTTTTACATTCACGCAGTGGTATATTATGTGCCAATTTAAAAGAGATATTATTAAAGCATATTTAAGGGCATGGGACACGTTTGAGATCTACTAAATTTGAAAGATCAGGCAAAAAGACTTCATTAACGACCCTAACTTCAACAACTGATGAAGACTGCCACCCCAACCCAAAACTCACTCTTGAATATAGAAACAAAATAGTAAAAAAATCAAATAAAATAGAAAATAAAATTTAAAATAGCAAATTTAGCAAACCTAATTCAAAATCCTTGAACAGTAAGAAATTTTCTTCTAGAAATGCAAAGTAGGTTCATTATTAGGAAAGCCGTTAAATATAAACAAATACAACAAAAAGCTCAAAGAAAAATATTTATTTTCATGTTCAACGATCACTTACTTGATTGAGATACCTGTTCCTTTGTCCAGAAAACATTTTGAGCTACCAATGGAAGGATTAATTCCTCCCAATCCTGAAAGCCAAATTTAGGCTTTGACATAGCAAATTACCAAAACCACAGCCCCTACCTTGACTTAAGAGAGTGATTATATCCAAAGTAACCTCTGTATTAGATTCACTTACAGGCATGGGTAGAGGACATATGCTGGTGAAGAAGGTAAACACTAGAGCTGATAATGTAAGAACAAATAACATTAAATATAAAGACAAAGTCACTTCTAAGCCATACAAAGAAAGACCAATGGCAAAGAAGAGGATCTTCTAAAGGATGGTAATAACGTGGCCCACGAAGATTCTATCACTCTGCCAAGAACTCAAGCCTATATGATTAAGTCACGCACATAATGCAGAGATCACAAGACACTTTCCGGTGCTGATTCAAGTATAGCTGTGTTGTTATTGTATTACACGCATCGTGAGTAAAAATCACCCTGAATGTTTGCTTTAAGTATCTTCTCAAGTCTTTTTGTTCTAAAGTCTTCGTGTATGTACACTGAAGAACAGGGGCATGCTATGGCCCATGGGCTGAACCAGGCTGCTACATGTTTTTATAAATGAAGTTTTACTGGAACATGGTCCTGCCCATTTGTTTCCATATTGACTATGGCTGCTTTCATACTACACAGCGGGAAGATGTATTAAAATTAGGGTAAAGTCATAATAAGGAAACACGAGCTGTAATTTTTTGGATACTTGAGAAAGGCTAAATTTTAAAATGGTTGTCTCTGAAAAGGAAAAAAAATGGGGGAACCATATAGGATAAATGAGTAACTGCAATGAGGCATATAAAACATAGTTCTTTCTGTATATATAACCCAATTTGTGAATGTGCTTTCCTAGTGAGGTTAATTTGAATGGCAAGAAATTCAGAGGCAAACTGACTACTATGAGATTCCATACTTTCTAAGATCAGCTGTAAACCAAAGTCCCACAGAAAAGAGAATGGATTGGGGGTCGTGAGGATTTGTAGACATAGTATATTTAACTTACGCCAGGAGTTAGCAAACTTTCTGTGAAGGGCAGATGGTAATGCTTTAGGCTCTGTGGACCATATGGTCCCTGTCGAAACTACTCAACTCTACTACAGCACGAAAGGCAGCCATGGACAAGAGTGAATGAGCATGACTGTGTTTCAACAACACTTTATTTACAAAACCAGGCAGCTGGCACGTGGGCCATACTTTGCCAACCCCTAGTCTATGGTAACTATCTGGACAACATTACCTTACCAGCAATAAAATTTACAAAAGTATTTATTGATAGATATTCTTGTTGTTTTCCACTTGATACGAACAGGAAGTAATTTTATCAGTATTGTCTGCTAGCAGAATGTAATGCTTATGCGGAATTCCAGTCAGGACATGCTGATCTGTACAGCAGGCTGCTCTAGCCCCTGATGCACCTGGCACTGGAATTAACATTCTGCAAGCAATGGGATTTTTAGTTGTAACTCTGACTCTTGTGATTCCTTTTTGTTTGGTGTAGAATAAAGTATAACCTCATAGACATTGTCCAATATAAACATCACGCAGGAGGGTGGGCATAATAATAAAAGGCAAGAAGACAAAGATAAATAAACAAATGGTGAATGGCTGTGTGGGAGAGGAATAAATATTAGTCCACCCAAAGTAGTCAGCTCTAAAAGTCAGAGGGACCTACACATCCTTCACACCATCTTTCTAGCGCATCTGAATCTTCCTTTGAGAATGAACTCTTCACATGTGCTCCTACGTCTTGGCAGAAGATAGTAACGAGGACCCCATGAGGAAGCAGGAAGTTCCAACGACTAACAATGTGCTCGCCACATTCTACTGCTTCGGGTATACTGAGGTAGTTAAGATCTTTGGAGTGTGACACACACAGCTCCACCACTGGCTCCCCGTGTTACACTGGTGACATCAACTCTCTGATCCTCAGTTTTATTATCTGTAAAGTAGGAACAAATCCTACTTGTCAGAGTTATTGTTAAGTTAAAATGAGATAATATATGTGGAAAGCACTTGCTTAGAACATAAAAGACACTTATAACTGATAAGGGCTACTATTAATATTACATGACTTAAGAAAGGAAACTTTCAAAAGTTGTGTGTGGGTGCTAGATGACTAGCCTAAAAAGAAAGAAAAAGAGAAAACCACAGACCTGCTGTCACAAAAGGAAAGGAGGATGGATAACGGGGATAGGAAAGTCCTAGGGAAAGAACCGCGGTTCAGACAGCAAAAGCCAGCTTTATACAACCCATTTTGGCCCATATAGAGAAAGAGACAGGAGGACTTTTTTTAACAGCATGTTAACATTCGTATCCTTGTATGTGAGCAATGTCATTTTAAAATAAGGTGTGGTGGCAGACACAGAATGCAGGGATTCCCTTTGTATCCATGACTATTCCAGGCTTCTCCTTAGGGAAATGCCAATTTTTCTATCATTCAGGTTCCCTGTGCAGGCTAATCTACCTAATTCTGCCAGTAGGAATTATCCAAACATTCCAGCGCCTATACCAGGAACATTATGCTATGAAGGCACCATCTCAAGACTATCCTCATGGGAAAAGGCAACCTTTATTACTTCCGTGAAAAATGGCAGATACCAAGGAATGATCTGGCCCTCAGGTATTAACTCTGGATGGAGGCACTACTAGCTTAAGGTAGAGATGGCCTCTGCAGAGATCTCCCAAGAGTATCCATTTTATAGATGCTGCCTAGTTTAATTATGAACCATTTCAGTGCTCCCTAAAGCCTATTAGGGGGCTGATCCCTGAGGAGCCAAAAATCAATGCCAGTCCACTTGGTTTAAGAGGAGTACAATCTAGAAGACCACGCTGCCTCTGAAATTACTAATCCAAAGTGCCATATTCTTGGCTGCCACCAAAACAATGAGCCTCTGCTATTTCCTGGCTTTTGACAGGATGTATGCAGCTCTACGGTCTGATTAAAAAAACTCTCAACAAGTCTGGTTTGAAAGAATAGACTTCCCCTTTAAGGGAAGTGTAATTAGTGTCATGTCGACATTATTTGTGACATGCAGCTTATGCCACCTAGTTTACCTGGGAACCATTTCAGTTCTTCTGTTCCTCTGCAGGGGTGATGACAGACTGAGTAAGCATATAATCTATGCCAACTGTTTTGAGAAGGATGTATTATAGAATAAACTGCAGGCTTTAAAAGTATTGGCCTCTGGAAATAACATTTCTAAGAGCCTCCCTGACAGGAGTCAGGGCAGAGTCACCCTTTCCTACCCTACTTACCTTAATCACTGTGTTACCTTAATCACTGAAAGGACTCCCTCTTCTGCTGCATGTTCACTCACATGGAAGATCCGGTGGACTCTAAAATGCTTTTAAAAGATATCTTTCACAATTCAGCCTAGTGAGGGGTTACAAAAAGGAAAAAGATTGCTTTCATCATCTCTGACCCTCCCATTTTCAGCTTGGTCAGCCTCCACTGCACTGAGAGACAGTGGCAGGTATTAAAGGAGAGAATGGGAAGTTGGGAGAAAAACACAAGGTGTTGCTTAGTCTAACCCAACCATTTTTAATGCAATTTTTCACACCATAATGGAAAAACTTTTTTTTTTTTAAATAATTTTATTTATTTATTTATTTTTCCCTCAAAGCCCCAGTAGATAGTTGAATGTTGTAGCTGCACATCCTTCTAGTTGCTGTATGTGGGACGCGGCCTCAGCATGGCTGGAGAAGCAGTGCGTCGGAGTGCGCCCGGGATGCGAACCCGGGCCGCCAGCAGCGCAGCACGCGCACTTAACCGCTAAGCCATGGGGCCGGCCCCGGAAAAACTTTTGATATAACATTTATGATACATTATGCATTTACTGGTTATTTATTCCTTTGTCTACTCTCACAAGAATGAAAGTTCCATGATGGCAGAACTTTATTTTCTTTTTTTTTTTTTGTGAGGAAGATTAGCCCTGAGCTAACATCTGTTGCCAATCCTCCTCTTGTTGCTGAGGAAGACTGGCCCTGAGCTAACATCCATGCCCATCTTCCTCATGTGGGACGCCACCACAGCATGACTTGACAAGTGGTGCCTTGGTGCGAGCCCAGGATCCGAACCCAGGGTCGCCGCAGCAGAGCATGCGCACTTAACCGCTACGCCACTGGGCTGGCCCAGAACTTTCTTAATATCTAGAACAATCTCTAGCACTTAGTAAGCACTTACTAACTGTCTGTTGAAGGAAGCGGGAAAGTGCTGCATCACAACCATCTCTTCTCTACTACCAACTGGGGAACTCCACCCAAACCAGTGTCAACTTACCAAGGCTTCCCAGCTGCCTCAGAAGGACATCCATGGCAATAGTGATTCATTCTGGCTCGCTAGTGAACCCACCAGGCAGGAAGCCTCAACATAGGAGACAGGTAGTCTTAGTGTTGCTCTTGACCAATGACAAGGTTTCTGCCTGCCTAGGAATGTGCATTTTTAACAAGCATCCCAGGTGATTTTATGCTTAATAAAATTTTACACCATGGAAATTTCCTTCATCAGGGGAGCACAATCTCAGAGGCTATTATAAAAATCTTTTGGCATGGAATAAAAATATTTCTGTCTCACACGGCACCCTTGGGCTTAGATGGAATCTAGAGGAAGCACTGGTAGAAGACACAGTACTGGCTTGGATTCAAATCCATTTTCTACACCAACTAGCTATAATCTTGGGCAAGATATCCAATTCACCCCACCTGCAAAAATGGGAGAATGGGGAAAGGAGAGGTTAGGCTTGTTACTGTCTAGTGTCGTCTGAATATTTTAAGACCTGTTTTCATATAATGGGAAAACATCAAGTAATTGCCTAGTGCCTATTAAGACTACCTCCCCTGCTCCTTCCCACTAACTGGGCCAACCCCACCAAACCCACTGACCACTTACCAAAACTTCACAATGGTTTGATAACCATGTGCAGAATGCTGATTTGAGCCTCTTCCAATTCTCTAGTAGCCTCACTGGACCAGGCAGGGCTCAATATACCTCTTCACCACTGGCATGATTTCTGATTGTGTTTGGTGTCACCTGTAGGATAGAGAAAAGGAAGAAGAAACAAATTTAAGACAGAACAGTCGAGGTTTGAGATCTAGCTTTAATTTTAGTTTTACCACCTTAGTCAAGCCATCCAGCCCATACCATGGACCTCAGATTTCACTCTTGCTAAGCATTAGCATCACAATTATGTTCTTTATCTGGCAAAGGCTGTTGCAATGCCTTCGATTATTATTTAATAAGGATTCTTGCCTCCATTTTAAATGAGATAACTTGGGTACAGGCAAACCAAGTAACTATACCAAAATGTTAGAACTCCTATGTAAACTCTGATGCTGATCTTTCCAGCTGCCTGCAAGTCCTTCTCCTCTTTAGATCTCAATATCCTATCTTTGAATGGGGGTAAACTCCATCTCTTAGGGGTCCTTCTATGTCTGGCAGTTATGACCCTCTGTTCCGTACTCCTGACTAAAAGAGCCCCCTAAAAGTGAATGAAACCTCCATCTAGTCATCAGATGGCATCTGGTTCACACTGATGAGGAAAAGTAACAAAATCCTGGGCTCTGGACCAAGGTCTGTCATTTACAGTCTCAACTTCCACCAGGAATCACCTTACTCATATGTGAAAAGGAATTGAACATATCTGTTCATCAGCTGGCTGGGTTACCAAAAGGATCACAGGAGCTAGGTAGGCCCTTGGCTAGTCTCCTACCTCCAAGACTCAGCCACGAGGAGGAACGGGGCTCTGAGACCTGAGACCCACACAGGACAAGTCAAAGACCCCCAAGGTCCTTTCTTTTTAAGGAAGCATCGTATTGCCTCTAAGTTTCCCAATCCCTAGCTGCTTAGCATGAAAAGCAACTCAGAAATCTGGCAATTCAGCAATGGCCCAAAGCCCAGGCTATTAATTATTGTCATTAGATGCCAGCAACACCAGCTACTGTAACTAGGTTTCCTATTACTCACTGAGATGCAGGCAACCCTCAACCCTAGGAAGACCCAAGGAGCAGTTTCTCAGGGCTCATTTTTAACTGTTTCACTCATCACCAGCAAAAAAGTTTGTCTTATAATACACTGGTGATCATGAGACCCAAGCAGAAAGCTCTCCCACCATAGGCAGGGAATATGCGTGCTGCCAAGTGTGTGGGGTGGGGGGGAGCAGGAGCCTTGATGGATTTGAGCCATCTCTTTATTGGATAAAGTAAAGCAGCCATTACTAGAGCAAGATGTGCACATCTACAAGCAGCTGCTGCCACTAGCAATTATTTAGCCTAGAGGGACAAGGGTGGGAAAGGAATGTGTGCAGGGCCTAATTAGGAAATAAATGCTAAGTATAAACCCTGATATGTCAAATGTCTGCACTAAAGAGCCAAGAATAGAGTAGTTGGTAGTTAATGCCTTTCTCTGAAGATGGAGCTCTATTGCCACCACTCCCTTCTTCCACCCCACCCAGCTCTTTTCCAAACTAAACTGCTCCAGTTTCCAGCCCCCTCACCACCCAATTTATTCCACTTCTGTTCAGGTCAACAAATTTCAAAATGGAAATAGTTTCAATGTTTGCCTAACTTTGAAAGTCATAAATGCACACTGTGAAAAAAATTCCAGAAATACATTAAGGATAGAAAGTAAAAACCACAGAATCCCAGAGGAGAGGGTATGTTCTTCCAACTACTTCCATGTACATGTACAAACATGAATTTTTATTTTACAAAAATTGGATGAAACCATACTACTGCTCTGTAGCCTTTTTTTCAACTAATATACTGGGTACATCTTTCCAAGTCAAATATTCATCTATAAGACTTTTTATTTTAATGCCTATGTTGTACATGAATATAACAAAATTTATCCAAATTCCTATTTATGAATAGCTAAGTTTTTCCATTTTTTACTGCTATGCACATTTTGGTCCTTCCCAAGCCTAAATCTTTTAGAATATCCTTAAAATATTTATTTAGAATTTATTTAGATTAGTTAGAATTTATTTAGAATATTTGGGGGTATATCCCTAGATATGAAATTGCTGGGTCAAAGGACATGCAATATTTATTCTGCCAATATATACTGCCAGACTGCCCCTAAAAAGGATTGCATCAAAATTGGATATATCCCACTAACACTAGTATAACATTTTTTAATCTTTGCCTATGTGATAGGTGTTAAATGTAACAATGCATTTTTTATGAATACAAACATTCATTACTAAGAGAATTACAAAGATGAGTAATATACAGCCTCTGCCCTTGAGCTTAAATGAAGGGAGATATATACAAACAGGTAACATTTACCATTATCATATTCATGATAAAGATAAACAAGATTTCAGTTCGTGGTGCTTCCTAATTGACTCTGTGGCTAGTGCTAAAAGAAAAGATCCAAGAGGGCCGGCCCCGTGGCTTGGTGGTTAAGTGCGCGCGCTGCGATGCTGGTGGCCCGGGTTCGGATCCCGGGTGTGCATCGAGGCACCACTTCTCCGTTCATCCTGAGGCCGAGTCCCACATACAGCAACTAGAAGGATGTGCAGCTACGACGTACAACTACCCACTGGGGCTTTGGGGGGAAAAAATAAAATAAATAAAATCTTTAAAAAAAAAAAAAAAAAAAAAAAAAAGAAAAGATCCAAGAGATTATTATTAGACAGTAGTCCAAATTAAAAATCCATTTGCTAAAATTCCAAGGACTTGTGCTAATGCTGAATATCACCTCAGTGGCATTTCAATGTGACTTTGTGTTTCTCCTTCAAGTCTTAAAGGAAAGAACCAAGTGGAAGCCACTCAGAAAACCATCTGCACCCCAAGCCAGTGAAGTGAATGAAGTGTAGGACAGTATATTATTGGAAGGATTCACTGACACTGGACTTGGACTTCCTTCTTTCCTTCTACTATTTACTACGGTGAGCTACAGACATTTTCTCTCAGAAACAAAATGGCTTCTCTCCCTGGGACTCTCATTCCCAGGCAGATCTGCTTATACATAGTTAGGCTGCAGTGGCAACCATGCCAACTTGGAAAATACAGATAAGAATCAAAAGAAACTATCTTTCAGCACCATGATGGGTCAGATACAGATGAGATCAAAATGAATGACAATACAAATATTTTAAAAACCTATCCAACAAAGATGGATGAATATGCAATAAAGCAAATATAGCAAAATGTTCATTGTACCATCTAGGTGGTGGGTATATGGGTTTTCACTGCACAATTCTTTCAACTTTTCTGTATGCATGTTTGAAAATTTTCATAATAAAATGCTAGGGAAAATCCAGAAAGCAGCTTGAAAAATAACATTGTAAGGCCTTTCCCTCCATTCTACTCCTAGAATGAGAATATCCAATATTCTCTCCATTTTGTTTCTTCAGATCTAGCTTTCTTGCATCGGACTTGGAGCTCTCCAACTTTTTAATGAAGTGAAATGAATCACAATATACTCACAGGCAGGTTACCAAGATAATGTGGTACATCAGGGAGGGTAGGGGGAAGACCCTAAACTCTTGCAAGTCCAGGATTGCTACCTGTAAAAGTCTGAATAAGTGACAATTTCAGAAACCCCATTTCTTCTAAACATTTGCCTCCGTCTACCTTTCTGCCTTATCTCACATTAATTCCTTATTTTCCATACTCTCACTGCAAAGAGCTGTGTAGGAAAGAGGGAGGCAAGGGATAAGGCACCAAGGCATGATATGTCCACATGCTTCAAGATAGGATATAACAAAAGGAATTTCTAGAGTTGAAGCTTGAAACTTGATATTGAAGGACACAGTATAACTGACTGACTGCAAGACCCTGGGGAAGACCTTATAATCCATCTCCTAGTTTGAAGTGTGTCTTAGCGGGCCCATCAGTAAAATAGGAAAAAGACTTGTCATAAGCAATAATGAACGAGGTAAATAAATGAGTTTCTGAGATGCTAAAAGTATCTCTGGCAAGTGGAGAGGGGAACAAAACCATCACTGTTGAGTGATGATCCAAGACAGGGTAGGCAATCTTCTTCTGTAAAGGGCCAGGCTTTGTGGGCCACCACGTCTCTGATGTAGCTACTCAACTCTGCCATTGCAAAGAGGCCACAGACAAACCATCAACAAATGAGCATGGCTGTGTTCCAACAGAACTTTATTTGCAAAACCAGGAGGTCCATGGGCTGTATTTGCACATCCCTGATCTAGAATGTGAACCCTACCTAGGAATACCATTTGGAGGATGACCTGAGGAGGAATGAAAAGGGGATGAGTCTACATACAGGAACCATTTAGCAAACAGTGGGCAGTGAGGATGAGGCTCCTGATCTGGCAGCTATCACCCAGGTCCCACCAAGGAAGAGACTGTCAGCAGTAGCAACAGTAGCAACATCTGTAAACACCAAGGACTGAAATCCAAACACAAAAATAGCATTATCTCAGGAGAAACTCTTGAGAAGATATATATAAAACTAGAAAGAAATACCAAATTTCTGACCACATGCATTTTGAAGAAATAGTTGACAGTCCAGAGCCTGTGAAGATCACGTTAGCAGGCACACAATAAATGTTTGTTGATGAGTCATTCATTTATTCATCCAATAAACATTTACTGAGGCCTACTAATATGCCAGGCTGGGCTCTGGAGATGAAGACACTGTCCCTGCCCTCAAGGAGCTCACAGTCTAACTGATAACATAGGAGACAGGCATATACACAGACAATTACAATACAACCTGATAAGTGCTGTAACACTTATCAGGTTGTATTATAATGGCCGATGTAAAATTTCTTTCCAGGGGGTGCTGCTCCAGGCTGCTGCTGGCTGTAACATCAAGCTCTCTTGGAGGAACAAACTGGAGAAATCAAAGGTTAAATACTTTTAGGCTATTTCAAATATCTAGGCTCTCCCTAACTCCTGATCATAGATGGCTTGGGGAACTAGACATTGGTATGATGTAAAATGGGACTCTCACGCTTAAGATAAGCACAGACCTCCAGTAAAGGACCATCTCAACCACCTTCTCTACAATACAAGCTTTGTTGTTGTTTCACTTTGTTTTGCTTATTATGCATC